GTAGAAACACACCAAGGGCATGTTATGCCATTTCTACGTGATTTTGTCATGGAGGCCTTGAAAACCCAAGTTGCAAAAGTTAGGCCATCACGTTAAAATGTATTCGTTTTGAGAAACTCCTCTGAGGAGGACTTAAAGAAGAAAACCTACCAATTGAATTTGTCAGATTGACAAATATAAATCTTATCATTGAAATTATCCAGATCCACCATCATGAATTGCATCGGGGTGATCGTTGGGGTTTGCTGAGGAGCCACCACTTTTCCACCATGCTTCTCCTTCTTACGACCCATTCTCAAGAATTCGGCTGAAAAGAACGCTGAAAAATCGTAATAAGAGGAATTCGTTATATAGGAAAAGAAGTGTGGGAGGAAGAGCTGGCCCTTGAGAATCACCTAGGCAGCAGTCGCTTAGGAAACATCCTCTGACTACGTCAGAAGCACAGAGGATCTAGAAAAAAGAAGAGTATGTATCTATATAATTAGTTGTTTTCGAGCTTGTCATGTGAGAGCTTGAGGAAGTACATAAGCATAAGATTTTGTGAGTTTTACTCACGAGAAGTAATGATGCGTGGGTGTGGGTATGGGAAGTTGGATTTGGGGTGGCGCCCAGTTACCCTGACTAATAAAAACGGTTATATCTTTGGTCATAAGAATACTGGGAGCACGAAACTTGGTAGAAATATAATTCGACGTTCGATTCAAAGCAACTGAAACTTTCAAAGCGATTCCTTAAGTCTAGGTATTGTTATGATTGTTCAAAGATGAACGGCGTAAGTTGTGATTTTCATAAAGCAACTTTGACAAGCGATAGCTCAGCACAAAGTTCATCAAATAAGTTGAAACTTAGCCAGTTTTTTGATGAGATATTTGAATTTATATACTCCAAATTTGAGCCCAGTACTACGCTTTGGGACGTTTCAGCTAACCTAGCCAAACTTTTGAGTATTCCTTATAAGTTCAAACAGCGGTCCTATTTTAACGTTGGTACTAACTTGTCTATCTATAGAATCTTAGCATGAATCAAGTTGTCCTAACTTCTAGGCTGCGACGTCAAGATGTAGGTTATGACCAAATGTCTACAATAGACCACTTATTCTGAACCTATGAATTCTAAGAAAAATTGGAGAACGGACTCTAATACACCTGCTAAAAATTTTCAAAAGATACAAGAAACCAGAAGAACAGGTGTTTTTTAGAACAAAGCGTGGGAGAGAAGAGAAAAAAGAACACACACAGCCTCGTCGACTCATCAGAAGTGCTCGTCACGACGATGACAGAAAAGAAGAAAAAGAGAGCCTTCTTTTCTCTCGCTCACTCTCTCTGTCGTCTATCTTCATCCCATATAGAGAGTGCCTTTTTCACTTGTGCTTTTCTTCTTTCCCCTCATTTCTCCCGTAACTCTTGAAACAAGGAAGATGGAGACGCGGCGCCCATTGATTTGAATGTGTCCTTCTCTCGCCGCACTCTCCTTCTACTTCAATGTTTTCGAGGAGCTGAAAAAGGGAGAAGAGGAAGAATAACAGCTGGAGCCGCCTTCACTCTTTTTGCATCTTGGTGAGAGGTGAAGAGAGCCCCCGTGACCAACAGGAGCAGAACTAGTGCAATTACGGAAATGCACACACATTCGGGTGGGAAATCGAAAGTTGGGATCTGGGAGAGCAGAAGGGAAATTCCGTAAACACTAGTAGAATGGCCTCTTTGACTTCCAACTTTGAGCTCAATTATAAAATTGAATCTTCATATTCATTAGGTCAACTTTCAGACATTTCTAACGAACTCTGATCGATTATTAAGACTTCAAAGAAATTATAAAAAATTTCAGGTTCAATTGTCTACGACTTTGTTCTCTTTTTTTTATTTTTTAGAAGATACTTTAAAAAGTACCGTGTAATTACCAAATTTGGTGTTTTGAAGCTCTAGACCAGTGATGGGAGGAAACGCATTTTTCCGAAATACGGAAAAAGTAAACGGAAATGGAAATTAACTTTCACTTTTACGGAAACGGAATCTTAAATATTTTTCCGCGGAAACGGAAACGGAAAAAAAAATCTTCAAAAATCGGGCGGAAAACGGAAACGGAAACGGAAATATCTATTTTCGTCTAATTTTCAGGATTTTTTCCCTTAAAACATAAAAATATACGCTTTTTAACGTTTAAGGACCATATTTGCATCACTTTCAATGCTTTTTTTCAAGCCAGTTTCAGTTTGATGTTTTTTTTTTTAATTTTTTCCGTTTCTGCTGTAAAAAAATGCCCGTTTTTACGGAAAACGGACACGGAAATCAAATTTCTTTTACGGAAACGGAAAAGGAAACGGAAACGGAAACCGAAGTTCCTCTCATCACTGCTCTAGACTATCCTGTTTTAAGGAAATTGAATTTCCAGCCCGTGCATCCCGAATACAGGATGTACAAGCTAAAATAAGTTCAGTTAATAAAACGACCTTAAAATTTGATAATATAGAATATCTCACCGTCAATACCACCAGTGAACCATTCCAATCAGTCTACGTAAAGTGGGAAGGTATATAAACGAAAATTTGAAGCAACTAGACAATTTCACCAATATCATTATAAACAAAGTACCTCAAATTGAACGGACTTCGGTTGCTGGAAATAGGCTGGAAGCATAGATCGGACTAAAAACATAGCAATTGTTATTTTTTTTGCTGTTTTTTAATTTTCAGGAATCTTATGGGAATATATTTTTTTTGTATTTTGAACATTATACTTGTTGTTTGGACTCGTTTAATTTTGTTACAGAAAACATAGGCGACCAAAAACTTTTGTATAAATAACCGCGAATTAAAAAACAGCAAAACACACTACCCAATTGATATTTTTGCAGTCCGATCTATGCTTCCACTATACTTCCAGCAACTCCGTTCACCAAATCGGTAAAATTTGTTAGTTGCTACAAATATTTGTTAGGATTTCTTTCCATTTTACATAGACTGGAATGCGGTTATTGGATCTTATAGGATCACTGGTGATATTGGTGGTGAGTTACTGTCTATATTACCACAGTTTGAGGTCAATTTTGAACTACATAAAACGTCGGTGGTTTCAAATAATTGTTTTCCTCTGGCAGACTAGATTACTGGCATCCCTATCAACCAGTGATGGGAGGAAACGCATTTTTCCGAAATACGGAAAACGGAAACGGAAACGGAATCGTTAATTTTTTCCCGCGGAAACGGAAACGGAAATTTATATTTTTCGTCTATTTTTCAGGATTTTTTTCCCATCAAACATAAAAATGTACACTTTTTAACGTTTAAAGACCATATTTGCATCACTTTCCATGCTTTTTTTCAAGCCAGTTTCAATTTGATGTTTGTTTTCACGTGGCTGTTTTCACGAAAAATAGAAACGAAAAAGGAAATAAAATTTCACTTTTACGGAAACGGAATCGAAATTTTTTTCCGCGGAAACGGAAACGGAAAAAAAATCTCTAAAAACCGGGCGGAAAACGGGAAACGGAAAACTGAAACTAAAATTCTTCCTATCACTGCTATCAACCGTAACTTCAGACTACGCTTCTAATGGTTCAGCATACCGTAAAACCGTAATAGAAGGGCCACCAAACCGTCAACTTTGAGCTCAGTTATCTCGATTCCTGTATGAGATATTAAAAAGCGGTTAACTAGTAAAATGTTTATCAGAATATCAGCAACATTTTACTAGTTAGCCACTTTTTGATATCTTTTACAGGGAATGAGATACATGAGTTCAAAGCTGATGGTTTGAGTGGCACTTTGTCAGATGGATTACGGTAAGTGAACTTACAATAATGCAGATATCTTTTACAGGAATCGACATATATAGGCTCAAAGTTGGAAGTTAGAGGGCCCTTCTATTACAGGTTTTACGGTAGATGTGAGCATAATAAGTTATTAAGGCAAATTTTATCAGTTAAAACCTTTTTTTGCTGAAACGGACTACGGTACCAAGCACAGAGTATGGAATTTGTTTCAGGAAGCCATTTTTGGTATTCTATTTAATTCCTGTGTAATATTCATGTACATTTTTGGATCATCTAACAAAACCAGTTTCAATTTGATCTGCCTCTCCCGAGCCATTAATAATGTTATTGTGCTTCTCTTCAATTTTTTGGTTCTAGATTTTCCTATACTTTTACTGTGAGACACTTTTTATTTGTTCCTTTGAAATGAAATGGTGTTTCAGTTCCAAAAACATTTTACCATCGGAAGTCGAAACTGTCATAATTTTCATAACTGTTGGTTTATATATGATAAACGAATTTCAAACGGTACTCATCGCAGCCAATCGATTCATTGCAATGTTTTTACCTTTACTTTATCATAACCTTTTCAGCAACAAAATTACAATGGTATAGTTTTGAATAGTTGCTTTTTGAATATTATCACTTTTCAGATTTTTCTGGGAGCACTTTACTTGGAAAGAGGGTATGCGAGCGTTTCAAAAGTTTTCACAGTTTTTGGTAGCTCTAAAAAAGAAGCAGCTTAGAACATGTCAACGTTTCAGCCGCTGACTGTGTCCTGATTTGGGAGAGTTCCGTTTTATGCCCTCTAAGCAATGATCCGAGTTGCTGGGAAAATTTTTCGTCTTCCTCCGACGGATTCATTTTTATTTGTGTTACATTGGCTGTTTTTGGAGTAACCATCCTGTTGAATCTGATGACGTTTGCAAAAATTTTAAGATTTTATCTTGTATGAGTAACTTGAAAGATTAGTTGTGAAATTCGTAATTTTCAGAGTCATAATGTGGATTCAGAAAGCACGTTTTCAGTGAAAAACAATATAAAATTATTTGTCCAAACTGTTCTTCAGGATTCACTATTCTTTGTAGACGTATTGTTCACTTTCAAGTTGAGCTCTCTGAGCACTCACCGAGCCTGGCTGTTCATCAGTACCGTGTTTGTATGGGAGACTATTCACATGTTGGATGGGTGGGGCATAATTTGGTTTCTTGAAGTATTGGGAACATTCCAGACTGATAATTTTAATGTTCACGGATAGAGCCTATATTTTAAAAGCTAAGATTGGAATTAAAAAATCTAATCTAGTGAAAGAAAGAAATGGACGTTCGGATTTCAATCCTGGACACCCTATGCCAGATATTGTATCATGACCCTCCAGTATTATTTTTGCATTCCATGAACATTCTTGTCATCTTCGTCATCAACATCTATCCAGAGCCATAAGCACTGGAATTGTGTTTTCGCTGCATTTTCTGACCCTTGATATTCCGACTGCATTATTGTAAGTTCACTTACCGTAATCCATCTGACAAAGTGCCACTCAAACCATCAGCTTTGAATTAATGTATTTCATTCCCTGTAAAAGATATCAAAAAGTAGCCAACTTATAAAATGTAGCTGATATTATGATAAACATTTTGTTTGTTAAACACTTTTTGATATCTCTTACAGAAAATGAGGTAGATAGGACCAAAGTTAACGGCATGGGGTTTTTTTTACTGTCACTTGGTTCCAATGAAGAATATTAACCTCAAAACAACATTTTGATATTTCTAGAGTTAATTTACCTAATGAGTGCATTCAGGTCCCGAAACGTCTGGCCCCCTGGAGTAGAGTCGATCATTATGAATGGAACTGTAAATGTCTACATTGTGAACGAATGTCAAACTATACTAATTGCAATTAACCGATTCATAGCAATGTTCGCGCCTGTTTCCTATCATAAACTTTTCAGCAACAAGTTGACTTTTGTGAGTTTCTAGAAGACAGTAACCAAGAAAGTGTTATATCATTTCAGCTATTCCTCCTATCTCTTTACCTGATCCGAGGATACATTAGTGCCACTCAATTACATGATTATTTTGGTAAGGGCATCTTTAAATTAAAAAAAAAACTGAAACTTGAAGTTTTTTTGATATCTGTCATAGGAACCGAGATAAATTGTCTCAGAGTTTGGCGGGCTTCTATTAAAAAAATACCCTATTCAGACTGCAAAAAACATTTCAACAACTTTCAGGTTCCATGACTCTGACTTTCCACTATTCTCCTTTCCAAATGACTTGTTTTCCACGAATTTCCTTCTCCACCTCCTACTTTTTCATCGAAATTTCTGAACCCTACGATATTTCTTCTTCCTTCTTCTTCTTCTTCTGACTTTTTTCTTCAATTCTTCACATCACGTGGTTGTGAGAGGACACCCGATATCACATTCTAATCAGTATGGTCAAATGATAATTTGACAGAAAAAGAAAGAAGATAAAAGGAATTTTTATATCGGTTTGGCCTTGTTGATTGATCTGGTTTCGCATCGAAAAAAAAACGGATGAAAGTTCATATCACATGGGGGACCTCGTGTTCTAGAGAATGGAATCAAAAAGCATGGTCAATGTAAAAAATCAAAAATTCATTAGAGATCGGATAGAGTCAGACTAAAAAGATGGTGCCTAATGTGTCACAACACGATACGAAGCAACTGAGCATTTCTTCTCTGGAAGATCCGTCTCGCTATCCGAGCTCGCAGTTCTCTTGATCTTGTTGAGCTTTTCTTTCAAGGAACTGGAACTGACGACACGAGAGATGCATGGGGATTGGGTGTTTTTCAGGAAGTGTGGCATATACTGGGAGGTCATTTCGTTGGGTGGAGTTGCTAGAACAGTTGGTACTTCGTCCTAAAAAAATAATTTTCCAAAATTAATTTTTACACATTTTAAAACTAACCGCTCCCACTGTGATATTGATTGAATGCTTATGACAAGCACATTGGCTTCCATTGGAATTCTTTCTTGCTGGTGTAGATGCTCCTGAATTGGCTTTTGAATGATCCTCGTGGTCATGATGGTGGTGATGATGATGCCCGATGTGTAAGAGCTCTTTCAAATGAGTCGTCAATCCGTGATGTTTGGATTTGTGTCCAGATCCAGAGCCCGAGGTTCCAGAATGCTCACTATGGTTGGAATGAGTATCAGCTTCCTTCTCGTCTACAGGCGGTAGGTGCTGGTGCTTCTTACCAAAGTGTTTTCCAAAATATAGAGAGTGTCCGTGATGCTCGGAATGGGATTCTGGAGGATGAGAAGAAGAAGATGAAGACCCTTCTACTGTTTCCTCCTCAAAGTTTCCTGTAGATCTGGATGCTTTGAAATCAGGAGTATGTTGGAATCCGGAAAACTCGGATACCAATTCAGCAATGACATGGGGAACTTTCATAGTGTGAGAAAAAATGGTTTAATGATCCAACTGCGATGGTCTTATATAGAAAACGGTTTTATCGTTCTCTGTGTGTCAGCGCGAGGCTCCGCCCCTTTTCTAAATTTCTTCTTTGGTTCCTTCCAATCAAGAAAATTGAGGAATGATTGAGAAGATATGGGGTCCATAGAACAGTTTGAATGAACAGCAGTGTGTACTGGGTACGTGAAAGTTCTGAAAATGAAATGGAGGAGGATCTATGATCTTGTTATTAGAACAAACATCCTTTTTATAATATTTTTATATTTGATGCACAGCTGATGCAAACGTGCTTGTAGTCAAGACAGTGAAAAATCTGGCCGCGGCCGGCCATGACACACTCAGCAGTGGCTTGTAACTTCTGGTCGGAAGTTGCCCAAAAACTGCTGTAAGGCGGACCATGATCAGATTATAGTGGAAACTTGCCCAAAAACGGCTCAATAGCGTGCCATGGTCCGATTTTGGTCAAAAATTGTAGTACAACTAGGTCCGCCCATACGGCCCACGGGACCTTGTCGGAATTCGGCCAGCTTTAGTAGCGGTCTTATCCGGCATCTGACCATCCTCCGACCAGAAGTTGCTGGCGACGTCTGAGCACGCGGTGCCTAGGTTACAAACTGGCTCGTTATTTCCAAAATACGCTTCCCACGAGGCCGTCGTACCCTACTCACAACCTTGACTGTAGTACCAAAAATTTGCTACTTTTAAAGATCAAAAATGCACCTCACAATATGCTCCCGAAATGAAGAAACCACAAATTGGTCACAATTCGTCACTCCACAAACATATGTTCTCTTTCTCTTGCTCTCTAATTTCTTGCACTAGACAAATAGTCTCTGAACTTCTACTCCTGTTCTTTATTCAACATTACAAATGGAAACTTCTTCCTCTTCCCTATCATTGCACAACCCGAGCAATGATAAATGCCGTATATGCCTCCAATCCGGTCATGGTTTTCATTTCGGAGTATTCTCTTGTAGAGCATGTGCCGCGTTTTTTCGGTTCGTTCGACACAACCTGTAATAGAAGGGCCCCTGACCTTAAACTTTGAGACAATTTATCTCGGTTCCTGTTAAAGATATCAAAAAGTTGTCAATTGATAAGTTGTTTTCCATACTTTGAAAAATATTTTATCTGTTGACACATTTTTGATATCTTGTGTAGTTATTATGATAATTGAGCCCAAATTAGACGTACGACGGAATTTTGATCTTTAACATTTATTCTGCAGACGTTGCCATCTTTCATCAATTCTGAATCAAAGAAAATGCAGAAGCTTCCATGGAGTTTGTGGTCCGAATAGACATGGAAGATGGTTTTGTAAGACTTGTCGTTTAGCAAGATGTATGGATTTGGGAATGACAACTGAGAGTGAGTCACTTGAAAACGGACCTAAAACGGGCCCTGATAGACTTAAACGGACCTAAAACGGGCCCTGATAGACTTATCAATTGACAACTTTTTGATATCTTTAACAGGAACCGAGATAAATTGTCTCAAAGTTTAAGGTCAGGGGCCCTTCTATTACAGGTTGTGTCGAACGAACCGAAAAAACGCGGCACATGCTCTACAAGAGAATACTCCGAAATGAAAACCATGACCGGATTGGAGGCATATACGGCATTTATCATTGCTCGGGTTGTGCAATGATAGGGAAGAGGAAGAAGTTTCCATTTGTAATGTATGAATAAAGAACAGGAGTAGAAGTTCAGAGACTATTTGTCTAGTGCAAGAAATTAGAGAGCAAGAGAAAGAGAACATATGTTTGTGGAGTGACGAATTGTGACCAATTTGTGGTTTCTTCATTTCGGGAGCATATTGTGAGGTGCATTTTTGATCTTTAAAAGTAGCAAATTTTTGGTACTACAGTCAAGGTTGTGAGTAGGGTACGACGGCCTCGTGGGAAGCGTATTTTGGAAATAACGAGCCAGTTTGTAACCTAGGCACCGCGTGCTCAGACGTCGCCAGCAACTTCTGGTCGGAGGATGGTCAGATGCCGGATAAGACCGCTACTAAAGCTGGCCGAATTCCGACAAGGTCCCGTGGGCCGTATGGGCGGACCTAGTTGTACTACAATTTTTGACCAAAATCGGACCATGGCACGCTATTGAGCCGTTTTTGGGCAAGTTTCCACTATAATCTGATCATGGTCCGCCTTACAGCAGTTTTTGGGCAACTTCCGACCAGAAGTTACAAGCCACTGCTGAGTGTGTCATGGCCGGCCGCGGCCAGATTTTTCACTGTCTTGACTACAAGCACGTTTGCATCAGCTGTGCATCAAATATAAAAATATTATAAAAAGGATGTTTGTTCTAATAACAAGATCATAGATCCTCCTCCATTTCATTTTCAGAACTTTCACGTACCCAGTACACACTGCTGTTCATTCAAACTGTTCTATGGACCCCATATCTTCTCAATCATTCCTCAATTTTCTTGATTGGAAGGAACCAAAGAAGAAATTTAGAAAAGGGGCGGAGCCTCGCGCTGACACACAGAGAACGATAAAACCGTTTTCTATATAAGACCATCGCAGTTGGATCATTAAACCATTTTTTCTCACACTATGAAAGTTCCCCATGTCATTGCTGAATTGGTATCCGAGTTTTCCGGATTCCAACATACTCCTGATTTCAAAGCATCCAGATCTACAGGAAACTTTGAGGAGGAAACAGTAGAAGGGTCTTCATCTTCTTCTTCTCATCCTCCAGAATCCCATTCCGAGCATCACGGACACTCTCTATATTTTGGAAAACACTTTGGTAAGAAGCACCAGCACCTACCGCCTGTAGACGAGAAGGAAGCTGATACTCATTCCAACCATAGTGAGCATTCTGGAACCTCGGGCTCTGGATCTGGACACAAATCCAAACATCACGCGGTCACAAGTTTATGGCTTTGTAACTTTGTTCATAGACAAGATACAGTATTCCAATTAGTATGATTTTGTAGTACTCGTCAAGCTCTATTGCTTCAATTGTTTGCAATTTAGTTGATTTAAAAATATTGATTCTGAGAGAAGCTATGACTGAGTCGGATAACAGTCATCTCACGAATCACACTTTTGAAGAAATGCGATTGTAAGTTTAGCACAAATTATGGCGACTAAATTTCCTTTTTGTTTTTTTTAGTTTCTTCACTCCAAAAGAATTATACTATGATGAATTGATTTGGGATATAATGGAAGTTCAACCAGACGACGTGGAGTTGACTTTCATTATGTCAATGATCTGTTTCCACGTGGCAGGTTGGTAATAATACTGTCAACTTTAAGCTCAATTATCTCGATCCCTGTGAAAGATATCAAAAACTAGTCAACTGATAAAATATTGGTGATGTTATGATAACAAATTTATCAGTTGACACATTTTTGATATCTTTCATGATAATCGAGATAATTGAGCTCAACGTTGACAAAAAGAAGAAAAGGTATTTATTCTCTCTTTCCCAATTCAGCAACCCACTTTGGAGGAGAAACTCAGGAGGAAATGGAAAGACTACAAGATGTTCTTGCAGATGACCTTCATGAGCACTACACTAAAAATTACAAAACAAAGTACTCGTTGCGGCTGAAACAACTAATGAGAATCAAGGAAAACTTTCTGAAGCTTCGGAACATTCGTCTCGAAAAATACTCGATTGGAGGACTTTTCAATCTATTTAATATGAATTTTTCGAATCCCGAATTCTTCTGGGTGCCTCCTCAGAAATATGTTTAATGTTGTTCAATAAATTCAAACTGCGCGCGCTTTGTTTACGAGGCGAGTGTCAATGCGAAACAAGGAGGGTGCGAGAGAAATAGGGGTTCTGCAGCCAGAATTTCTTTGCGCGCACAAACCAAAAAATGCATGAAAATCAATAGAAATGCATCTTTTTCGCTCTGGATTTTGATTTGAAATAATGAATATAAATTGAGGAAAATATCTAGCATATTTTAAGAGTCAAATTCTTTCGAAAATTGTGCTAAAACTGATTTTTTTAATCATTGTCGCATAAATACGAATTTTGCTTTTAGAATTGGCGTTTTCCACCTTCTAGCAGCGCTGCTTCGCATGAGAAATCTTCGAAGCACGCCTTTCGTCATGTACTTTTATCGATTTCCCTTTTCTGCAGCTTTTCCTCTTTCTATCTCTTACTGAATTCTCCTATTTTCAGACACATAATAATAATAATAATGAGAAGAGCAGATTACGACCAAGTTCCGAATCGAATAATCCCGCCTCAAGGCTCGGCGCTGTGAGTTTCAAAATTAATACTCCCAAATTCTAAATTTCAACACAATTTCAGTGACCCGCGATACGAGAGAAGTGCTCGCATACTTCCGGCGCCCACTATCCGTCAACCGCTTCTTGGCAACGCTCCTCCGCAAGTCGCATCATATGCCAACGGTTATGAATCAGCCTATAATAACTACAACATGGATCCTTCGAGAAGACGTGGATTCGATAAAGGACCATTGGGAGAAGACTTGCGACGCGTTGATGGGCATCGACCGCTGATGAGAAACGTAAGATAGTTAGGCTGAAAAATAGTCCTAAATTAAAGCTGTTTCAGCCAAGACTCGCTGTAGAACACGTTGGTGGAGACATGGATATCTCGAGAAGCAGATCGCCGTCTCCAGAAGTGCAGGTTATCAAGGGTAACAGCTCAAAGAGCTCTATAAACGATTTAGGTTCATAAATAAATAATTTTTAGCTATCTCAGCGCGCTCGGTTCGAGATGATCGAAAGAAGTATCGTGGCGATAGCAGTCGCAGAAGATCGCGCTCCAGGTCAAGATCGCCTTCTCGTAGCGATCGTGGAGACCGTGATCATCGAAGAGCTCCAAACCCATTGAGAATGGATCGGGATGACTATGATCGGGAGAGAGTCAATAGCCGATATGAGGATCCACCGCCACAGATACGCGACGGGATCGTGCACACCAGTGAGAACTACTTTGACTTCTTGATGCACTACGTGGACACACTGCACGATCAGCTTCAAGTAAGCCGTGGTAACGCGCCGGTGGTTAGAAGGATGAATATGACTATCACTGAAGCGTCTCCCCTTGAAAAGAAGACTATCGTGCTCCCACCGATTTTCGATGACTCGGATCGAGAGAGAATGCTGCATTGTGACACCACCATCGCCGGTCTTCCAACCTCGATATTCTATGGTAGTGGCTATGGACCACGTGTTCATTATGCAAAGTATTCTGCTGCTAAGGATTTGATAGATAAATGTCATAGAATCGGAGTCTTGTCTAGCGTTCTCTACGCAGCGATTGGCGATTTTGAACGCGTTGATAACGACTTCAAAGTGCGATTCGCGAATCACATTTCCAAGGCTGTCAATGCGGTGATCCTGTTGATTCAGAGAATGACTACAGGTGAGAATAAGGACTTTGATCAAATCGGCATATTTTCTTTTATAATCAATATTTTTAGACCAACTAAATCACAAATAATAGAGCTTGATGAGTACTACAAAATGGTGTTGATTGGATTGATGTAGCTTGTCTATGAACAAAGTTACAAAGCCATAAACTTGTGACCGCGTAGATTAGAATGTTCTTGGCTTGTAACTTTGTTCATAGACAAGATACAGTATTCCAATTAGTATCATTTCGTAGTATTCGTCGAGTGCTATCATATCTATTTCAGTTGGTGTGGAAATATTAATTCTGAGAGAAGCTATAGCTGGACCTGTTTTCCAAGTACGGATTTGGCTAGAAATAGCTTTGTTTTCAGAAGAACTCCCCCCTGGATTCATGACTATGCGTCATTTGCCCAACGAGCTGATCGCCAGATTTAAGACGATGCTTCGAATGGTTTTGAATAATTGTTTTATTGTTTTTTTTTATTTCAATTTTTAGGTGATGATGGAGGTCTACTATCAGGGAAACGATCCATCGGAAGTTGCCGTTCCAAAGAGTCTTGAGGTAGGGTTTTATGTGTGGTTTTGAATGCTTTTCTTGGTTGTTATACGATATCGATACAATACGAATGGAAATCAGGTTTGATATGGGACACTATAAAAGGTTTTTTAGACCGGATATTCACGTCCAAGAGATTCTCCGAAGCTTCCAAAAGGTCCTAGTGCCGAGGAGATGTTACGACAGAAAGAGAAAGAGCTAGAGGACAAAATGAAGATGGAACTAGCCAAGAAACGACAGGAAATGGAAGCAGAGCTACGGGAGAAGATTCTGAAGGAAGAAAGAGACAAGATTCGAGCAGAGATGGAGCGAGAAAAGAATCAGGAGTTGATAAAGATCCAACAGAAACAATATGAAATGGAGAAGGAGAGAAAAGAGCTCGAAGAGAAACAAAGGAAATCGGCGGTTTTGAAACAGGTCGAAGAGGATTTCAATTCGATGGTTGAGCGATTCGCGAACCGATTCGAAGAGGTCCGCGCGAAAGGTGTGCAACCGGTGTTGACTATGATCTACAACTCGGCCACCTACAAAACCATTCAGTTATATTCCACGACGCTCACCTCGCTGAGTTCTGAACAGAAGCAACAGTTAGCACAAGACTTGCGATCTCTTCTAGATTCCATTTCGGTAGCGATGAGTATGCATTCAGTAGCTATGCCTCAGCCTATTATGCCACAACCTGGACTGATACAGCCTGGGTTGCAGCCTGGATTGCAGCCTGGACTACAGCAACCAATTATGGGGAATCCCATGATGGGAAGTTTGGGAAACCCAATGATTCCAAGTTATCAGCCACAGCCTATGATGGGTGGGTACCAAGTACCACAACAGCAGATGCCAGAGATCAGGATTCCACAACTCTCCACAAGTTCAAATGGATCTAGAAAAGATGAGGTGTGTATTGAAAGTTCCAATTTGAAAGGAGAACTGGATCGATTGCTGGAAGAAGGGGAGTCGTACCGTAACAGAACTGCTAAAATAGCATTAGAAGTCAGGAAGCCCTCAGCTCATCTAGAAGTTTTGCAAATTGTTTTGGATGCTTCTCAAAACGCCTAAAAGCAAGGCTGTCGGAAACAGGATCGTGGCTTTTTGGTTACGGTAGTTCTGGGATGGGTAACATCTTCTGGGATATTTAGGACCTAGCGGCTCTAGAAGCTTCCGCATGGCTGAGCTCGTTTCGAAAGGAACGGACCCTAAGACCCGGACCACGACCCTGTTTCCGGCAGCCTTACCTATAAGATCAGTAGGCTCCATTTTTGCAATTAAAACCGTTTTGAAACAAACAGTTCTGTTTAGGACAGTTATCCAGACCCTGTCAGGATCACAACCCCTTCCACTGGGAGGCTTTCAGCAGTCGATTCATGTTTTCCGCTTATTTCTTTTATTCTATTTCTATTTTCTCCAATCTATCCATCATGTTAATATTCATCGCAGGTTCGTCGTTTGACGCTTGGGAACATGCAACTCCGTCAACTGAGCTCATCTGAACAGCGACGATTGACGAAAGGAGACAAAGTCATTGCACAAGACTCTAAAACGGGCACGTGGGCTTTGGGAACCGTCGAGAGGATTCGCGACAACCGAGCGACACTTGCAGTGAACGGTGCCGCGTGGAAGAAGTATTTGGATGAGTTGTACAAGGAGGACGAGGGTAGATCGATCTACTGAAGAGTATTATTGTAACCCAGTTTTTTGATATATGTTTTTTTCTGTCTCTTTTATTATTTTACCAAGCTTCTCTGTATGTGATAATCACTTGAAAACCTACATGAACCCTGTTACTTTTTTGTGTCGGAAAAATGGGGTTTGTATGGAGTAAGTACATCGGTTTTTACATGAGATCGGAGAGGAAGGTTTTGCAAAGCAACGACTACTCGAATAAGGATGGTTCACTAACCCGAGAAATTGGAACGAGTTGTGAAGCAATTGGTGGAATGAAACATATTTTTTAGATCGACGCTTTGGCGATGGGCATCTTACGAGCAAGATAAAACATTCTGAGTCTTCAGTAGATCCACCATGAGTTCAGAAGTACAAAGACGGAATCTACTTACAAGCGAGATATGAAGTTTGAGGATCTTTTAGCATACATGTCAGGATTTTTTGTAGATTTCATCAAAAGTTCCAGAAGGCTCGCCGGAATAGAAGGGATAGGAAAGTTCGAACTTTCATAGATCTTACCAACGGATACCGTACTGTTCAGCATGACAATTCGCAGGAATACAATATGGATAGCACTAGTGAAACTGATACTATAATTAGATTACAAAAACAGCTGAAAGTCGGGAAAACTGCTTCTGGATATTGCAGGGAAGATTGATTCAGGACGTCATGTAAATGCGCTCTGATGCTAACATTTGCATACCGTAGTAAAAATTCGTTGGTCTCGACACGAAAACTTCAAGTTAAACTGCCGGTTACGGTATTTGTGCCTGCATTCCATCGGAAAAAGCGCGGGAAATATTTATTTTTAAAAGCGTTCTGGAAAAATCGCCGTGGTAATAAATGCTAGTTTCAGAACAGCTTCAGAGGGTATTACAGGGGTAATAATAGTTTATTGGAACAATGGAAATTTACAAGAAAAAAGACTGAATACACCGGAAGTTTTGATGTTTCAATGTATGCAGCGACCGCGTCGCGCGGCGCAACGCGCCCAAGAGAACTGGCGCAAATTTGAATGCATGTACCCTGTTGCAACCCCGTGATGTATGTGAAATCAAGCTCTTTATTTGTTCCTGTTAGGGAATAGATCGAAAAGATGCCTGAAAATCGATTTGTTTGGAAGTGGATCTTATTGATACCGAGTTACAGACTTGCTAAAATTCAAAAAAACCATTTTAGGAATTTTCGAGAAAATGGTATTTCAGACTTTTCCAAGCGACCGATATCTCGAAATCAGACATAATGTGGAAAATGAGAAAATCTAGGAATCCTTTCAATTCGATCAGACAATATTGGTAATTGAACAACGGTATTATTTCTAGATTGCTTCCAAAGAGTTGATTTCACCCAGATTCTCCATTTATTTGAAATTCCCAAAAAATACACATTTCCTTTTTCCCTATCTCACGTGTCCTCTCCACCACATAGATATAATTGTCTACTGACAGCTGACTGAGTGATGCGTGGAACAAGACGCCGGCAGCTTCCAATTCCAGTTTTTTGCTGAAAACGGTCAGCTCATCCAAGAAGATGGACTCGTTTGCGACTATATGGAAGACAAACTGCCGGAAGTTCAATTTGCCTTTAAGAAAAGCGGTTTGTAATCCACTGACTACCAATCAGAGGTCCAACAGGGTGAGTCTATTCGTTTCCAGAAAAATTTGAAAACTCCGGAGCACTCGATGGCCTGGGTAGATGCGAAAAATGGACCAATTATAACTGAGGAGAGGATGAGAACTTGCGCACTTCCAAAAGCAGTCTGTAGAATGTTCGCCGACGATGCAAAGCAACGGAGACAGCCCCGAACGGTGGAGGTCCGCGGACCCCCATCTCTACTGGCCCTGAATCTTCCACCGCCAATGACGCCTCCAAAAGACGAAAAAGAGATTTTAGATGTTCTGACAAGAATTAACACCTTATTCGGAGTCATCTCTAGAGTTTATAGAATTCCTTTGTGTGCATGTATTGGTGAGAATTCGCTCATCTCAGTCAAACTTCTACGCTTTCTGTTGAATAAAAAAAATCTTTAGAAGAATTTTATCCCCGATTTTCAGAGCGTCGAAAAGTGGACAACGCGATGTGCCTCTTCACCTATTTCGAGCAAATTCCGTGGGCGTTGATGGGCGGGATGACGATGATTCCAGAGGCGTCAGTCAGAAAGCTATTGTAAGATTTGATTTTGATAGGCAAAAACAGCAAAATTCAAAATTTTCAGACCTCCAGAGAGCATATATAACGCGTGGCGCTGTCAATTCTTTCAATCGCTACAGTATCTGCTCCCTCAAATGATTTTCAGCAGAATCGCACGATTCGTAGATAGGGGTGTTAATTTGGTATGGAAGAAAAACGCATGGTGGCCGTCGCCGAAGGTCCCACAACGAAAACTACCGTAAACTAAGAATATTTTAACTTTTTCTCGAGAAAAACGAGGAAATAAATCCGGGACCTTCGGCCACGGCCACCGGAGCTGGAATAATAACTCAAAATTTTTTTCAGGACTGGTGCACCGAAGTGATCACAGGCGAGCAGTTTAGAGAAGTGATTCAGCGAGTTCGAAAGGCGAAATTGAATCGTAAGGGTTCTTTTTTTCCAAATTTCTATATTTAAATCTAGAATTTCAGCAATGTACACCATCCTGTGGACCACGAAACCAACGGATTTTGATCCCCGAAATCAGCAATTTGCGAATGCAAGGTAACATCGGGTTTACTCTTTTTGTTTTCTCAGTAGTTATTTTGAAGAACACATATTTGCATTTGCGATCAAAAACCTTTTTTTATTTATGCTTGCTTTCAGATCAGCACTGATCAGACAAATGGAAGCGGAAGTGAAATCATTATGGACGTACGAGACAATAGGAATGTATCTAAAAATGTATTTCTAACTAGATCTAGTATTAATTTATTTGATTTTTTGCTTCTTTTTTCCTCGAATTTCTTTTTGTTTAAATAAACAATTTTACATCTATTTTTGAATTTTCCAGTTTTTTTCAGGTTTTCAGAACTTTTTGCAAAAAAAGAGGAATTCAGCGACCTGAAAACAAAGGATTACTGTATTCGTGACGGGACTCCGTTGAAGTTTTTGAGGGACGCGCCTTTGGTTTTTATTTCGATTTTCGAGTTTTTGATTTTTCGCAAATTTCTCTAATTTCTTGAACTATTTTTTCAGAGTGTTAAAAAATTATCAGCAAAATGTCCAAGCAGAACTTGATTTTCAGATATTTAAAGCTTAATTTAGTCCTAAAATTGGAAAATTTAGCAAAAAATCGATGTAAAAAATTTATTAGGTTACTGTCTCCGCGGCAGGACTCGAGTAATATTTTTAGTGTGTGCGTCTTTTGATGTCGATTTACGGAAGGGGCTTTTGTAATTTTTTTTCAGGGTATTTAGTCGAATTAATGTATAGAAATTAATATAATTCTACCGAATAAACTTTGAAATCTTTTTTTTTTGTTCGTAGCACCTCTGTCAAAATTTTCAGCCGAAATGCGCAGTCCTCCCGACAGAAGTATAGCAAACAACGACGACGACGATGCTTTGAGGATATCAAGAAGAAGTCAAGTAAGTATTTAGTACACGGGAAGGAACCAACAAGTCAAAGTTCAACCAGCTGTTGTGTCCGTCACACACTTCTCATTGTGTAATAAAGCGGGAGGGGATAACCCATGTCTCGAAGAGTCTGACTTTTTGAAATAACTCTCGGCGGTTGTTCTTGTTGTCGAGTATCCTCGGAAGTTCTCTCAATCGATCGATGTTTCTTCAAAAATATATTCAAAAATCAAACTATCCAAGTTGTGTGGGGGAATTCCTTTTGCATTGTCTATATTTGTTTCCCATGCATAATATCGTCTTTTGCCTTCCTTCCTTCCACTCCATTCCCGTAAGACGTCATGGGAATATTGTCGAATTTTCTAGAATTTTTCTCTGTTCTTCCTCCCACACTGTTCTTCGCCTTTGATATACCATTCCATCCATCATATTATCAATTCCTCTCGTCGCCTCTAGAATGCAATACTCCCTATTCTTTTCCTCGCCGGCTGAGAAATCAAATTTAAAATTTTTCGGTCCCTATCGTCGGAGATTCTGGGAGTTTGACGATGGAACGTTGTTCAGATGGAAGGTAAAAAATAGCTTTGCCACGTGGATTTTTCCTTTGATTGAAGAGAAATCAGAAGAAGTGAAAAGCTTCGAGAAGGCCAAAAAAGTTCCAAAAATCCAAAAAAGTTCCAAAAATCTTTAAAATTCCGAGAAATTCGAATTTTCCCGAAAATTTTAAAATTCCAAAGTCTCAAAATTTCGAAAAATCCCAAAAAAGTGTAATATCAATATTTCTAATTTTTCGAAAAAACCCGTAACAATTTTCAAAAAATTCCGAGAAATTTTAATTTTTCCGAAAGTTTTAAAAATTCAAATTCTCACATTTTTGAAAAGTTCTGAATTCAAAAAATCCACAAAACTGGAAAAAATCGGAAAATCTCTTCCACAGCTCCGATTTTTTTAGATCAAAATGATAAAAAAATGTTTTGTTGCTATTTTTCAAAAAAAGGTATTCCCCCAGGCGGCTATGTCCTTGATTCCTTTTACACCACCATGTTCCTTCCTATATCAATCAAAGTAATCTCCTCTCGTTTTTTTTCGAAATCAACGGAAGTCACTCTCTGCGTCTCCTCATCCCATACACTCTCTCAGTCTCACTGATGACACATTGAGACGCGACGAAACAAGCATGTACTCGATTTGATTTCGTCGTCTTCAAAGAACAGAAAGAGAACCCAAAAATAGAGAATCGGAAGTGACTTTGATCTTTGTTAGAGATGGCACCTAGTTCAAAGGTGCAAAAACTCTCTGTTAGAACCAGAAAAACTCATCTGGAGACTATGTGTACACAACAGTACATACCAGTTGATCGGGTCACTCGGCAGCGACCCCGATCTGTGGCAAAAATGGTATTTGAAAGAACACATTCATCTGGCGATGACGTAGAATTTTTGTTTCCAACACAATTGGTCTGAAAATAGGTATCAAAATATCAAAAGAATAGAGAGGGTGGGCCTAAAATAGAACAGGTCAAAAATAAAATTGTGTTGTTGATATAATAATGTGACATAACAATCTTGGGGTCCCACTGAAACAATAAGTAGGGCGAATTCTAGAATTTTTCGTACTTCTTCGACTAATATGACACGTGGATTGAGAAATTTCCTGTTGGCTGTCTGTCGGGTTTTCCGATTGTCCGAATATCGTTTTTGTATCTTTCAAGACACAGCGATGGAAAGCGGTCCTTGCCATACTTCCTTTCAGAATCAATATTTTCGGACCAACTAAGATGGATATGATAGAACTCAACGAGAGCTACAAAATTATACTATTTGGAATACTTTATCTTGTCTAAGAACTAAGTTACAAGCCAAAAACCATCTGAGCTATCATTCTTGTCCGACGCCGATGAACCTTGTGGCCGAAAATTCATTTAAAGGATAGCCGGCACTGAAGAAAACATCTGAAACCGTAGCTTTTTTCCCTTCAATACCGGCTTTGCGCCTTTGAATAAATTCTCGGCCACAAGGTTCGTGTGGGACAAGAATGATAATTCAGATGGTTTTTGGGTCGTAACTTTGTTCATAGACCAGCAGCTACAGTAATCAAATTAATATCATTTTGTAGTACTCGCCGAGTTCTATCATATCCAATTTAGTTGGTCTAGAAATATTGGTCCTAAAAGAAACTATGGAAGGGACCGCCCGGTGCCACCCTTTGCCGCGGCTTCGCGGGCCATGCCACAGTTTCTTTCAGAGAAAACATTTTCGGACCAACAAAATCGGACATCATAGAACTTGACGAGTGCTACGAAATTATACTATTTGGATTACTGTATCTTGTCTGTGAACAAAGTTACAAGCGGAAAAACGGCTGAGCTACGCGGTCACAGCTTTATGGCTTGTATCTTAGTTCATAGACCAGCTACAGTAATCCAATTAGTATCATTTTGTAGTACTCATCGAATTCTATCATATACAATTTAGTTGGTCTAGAAGTATCGGTCCTAAAAGATACAACGGCAGGGACCGCCCGGCTCATCTTTTGATATTCTTCTTGTTCTCTGAATTTCGCGTTCCAAATCGTTCGATCTTTGCCACCATATATGGTTGTTTATTTTCGCCCAAATATTGTTTTCTTTTTCTAGTAGGTTTCGCCCTACTATCACACTAACTAATCAGTTGTCACCCCCACCAAAACCGTATCACTTATGAACGATGACATCATGCAATCTTCAAAAGTCGACGTGCAGAAGTGTGTCTGCGTCTCTTCCTCCCACACTGTCTCTCAAACCTGACGCATTCTTCCACAGTGGGTGTCCCTTGCTGTGGTGGTCGCGAGTTGGACTGTTTTGCTTGCTCGTCTGACTGGGCTCCGCCCATCAAGGAAGCAGAATGAAAGCCCCGGGGTGGGGATGGGTGGTATAAAAGAGGTTGTGGAGAGCAGAATACAAGTTATCTGGTTTTCTCTTTCCTGGAAATTTTTACCGTATTTCGCTACCCAAACTGACAATTTTGAGCTCAATTACCTTGCTTCTTATTAGAGATATGAAAATTTTGTCAACTGATAAATTATTTATCATAATATAATAAACATTTTATCAGTTGATAGATTTTCGATATCTCTCATAGAAACCGAGATAATTGAACTCAAAGTTTAGGTGGGTTTCTATTAGAGAAAAATACGGTATCTTTACACCTAGTGATCCTGAAAGATAACAAATTTCTTTGAAAATCGTAACCTGTTTTTGCCGCCGCGTCTTCCTGATCCTGAATTCAATTAGTGTCCCATATCATTATCATTATCTTATCGTGACCGTTCTATTCTATTGGAATATTCAAGAATGACTAAAGTACACTGTTCCACCACTTGTGTTCAAAACTGTCAGGTTGGCGTTTTCTAGACTTTTCTTTGAACGCTCATAAGATTCTTAGCTCCTCTTAGGATCTATATTTTCTGACCAGCATAATTGGATATGATAGAACTCAACGAGTACTACAAAATGATANTTATTTTGGGATTACGATATCTCTCATAGGAGCCGAGATTATTGAACTCAAAGTTCAAGCCTTGGGATTATTTTCGAAATTCCCTTGATTTCGAAATTAATGTTTACTGTCTACTGTAAGGTTTTCCCGATAAAAGTGTATTAACCTAAGTTAAGCAAACATAAG